GTGGAAACAGGAGGAGGAAGCACACCACGATTGTCTCTCTCTATCTCTCTTCCTTTCTCGTGCGTGCAGCTGGCAGCCTGGCATCTCAAGAACCTTCTCCTCAAACCCCGCGAGCAACAGTAACCACTGACGTCAGCACGCCGCCACGTCAGCCGAGCATGTTTTAACTCCATGCACCGGCGCTTTTGAATGAATGAATATCTATGGGAATCATTCAGTGTTTTTTTTCTTCTTCCGTGAGTGGGAATTATCCAGTTAATTACACATGAATTTGCTAAGACGATGCTGCGACGGTCCGCGTTGTCGGTTTCAAATGTAAATTGGATCGTGGTTTTCGACCCGGTTTTCCAGATGAACCGGCTCATTCCTTCTGGATCGAGATCGACGTACAAGTGAGCATGATCTCCCCGGCGATGAATTCAAACAAAAAAGATAAACTAATTGCTGCTTCTTTAATAGATGTTTTGATACCAAAACGATCAGCGCAGATGGATGCACTCTTTATGCGCACGTCTGCATGCATCCCTAGGCTTGATTATGCCTCAATCAGTCGACATTTTCTCTTCAGTTTTACCAATCCTACAAAGTGGAGCGACTTCGGTTTACTGAGAATTGGAAACTTGCGCTTTTGAAAAACTGCAACTTCACTTTTCAGAAATTGACATAGACTTAAGAAAATATCAATCAACTAAAAATTATTTCTGCCCTATAAATTTCCTTGTTTGAATGGAGTATCTACCACGTACGAGTTTTGCTTTTTCATAAAGAAATAGAAAAAACTCTAGCACTTGGCTACATGGGTATAATCGCCTCAAATTTTCTCAAACTACATTGCCTTGTAGATTCGATTGCATATCACATCATAATTTGCAAACTCTTCGTCCCGTCTGGCATATGCTGGCAACATGTTCAGGGTTGTGAGGCAGAACCAAAGCAGCTCTCTGCCATTTTAGCTACATGGGATTGGAGATTATGGTGGAGCCAAAGTTCACGATATTGATCAGAGGAGTGGTTACGGGTTGATGCTGGTGAGGGGTGGGGACATCTGCGCCTCAAAAGAA